GGGCATTTGAGGACTAAACTAGGAGGTGGGAGAGACCTCTCTCTCTCTCTCTCTCTTTCTCTCTCTCTCTTTCTTTCTGCCACTCACGTAAATAAATGAATAGGTTTTTAAAAAATTCCAGCCATTATTAAATATTTTTTTAAAAGATAGGTCAATTTTAGTGGAAGAAAATTTGAAATCCAGGCTTAGTTTTTCATAATATGCATTTTCCATGAACTTTAGAAGACCACTTAAAGCATGTCTGTCCTTAAACTAATCTCTCTGGATGTGTATACTGTCCATATTCTTTAGTTCTGTTTTAGGGAATCATCACTCTTTTATTGCTGAGAGTAGATAGTAGTCCTTTACTGCCTCTTTCCTTATTTTGCTCCATCTAATTTGTCGATCAATCTTCCATTTCTTCCTTTAAGTAATTTCTTTAGGTTTCCAATTTCACTGCTTTCTTGGCATCTCTATTCTGGTTGATCTCGATGTTATTTAAATTCCAGCTCAGTAAACATGAAGCAAATCCAATAGATTTGTGTTGTATTACCCAAATGTTTGATTTCACATACTCAATGAACCATTCAGAAACAAATGGTGAAAATGTTTCAGTCTAAAATTAAGTTAAAACCTGTATGTATTTATTTAATCTCCTTAAATATCACAATTTATTGACATCTTAAAGGAGAAAGGGGAGAAATAAAATCCAAGTAAATAAACAATGACTGTTTTATTATTGTATCATAAGTTCAATTCAAAAAGATTTGGAAAATAGTATTTTCTAATTATTAAGTTAATGTATCTACTAAGGCAAAGCATATTCATTTATTCAACTAATTAATGCATGAAATATTCAATAACTACTCTGGATCTATTATTTGCTTGCAATGAAGATATAAAACTTTTTATTTAAAAAAAATCTATTTATTTGAAAAAGTTACAGAAAGAGAGACATATCTTCTCATCTGCTGGCTCACTTCCCAGATGGTGTAATAGCCAGGCCTTGGCCAGGCTGAAGCCAGGAATCAGGAGCTTCATCCTGGGCTCCCAAGTGCATGGCAGGAGGCCAGACATTGGGGCCTTCTTCCACTGCTTTTCCTTACCCATTAGCAGGGAGCTGCACCTTAAGTGGAGCAGCTGGAACATGAACCATTCAGGACCATATGGGATGCCAGTGTCACAGGTGGTGGCTTTACACACTTTGTCACAATGCTAACCCTTTAGATAAAAATTTTAAAGTGAAATATTGAAGGGGAGGTCCCAATGCTCTCAGTCTGATAGGAATTATAAAACAGGATTCAATATCATATGCTATATCAGAGATAGGGATAAGGCCAATAGAGGATAGAAAAATGCAATGTAGAAAAAAATACTTTTTATTTACTCTAAAATGAAGAGGAAAGGGAGGGAGGGAGGGAGGAAAGGAGGGAGGAAGAGAGAGAAATTCAATCTACTAGGTCGCTTCCCAAATGCCTGCAACAGCCAGGGCAGCACCAAGCTGAAGCCAGGAGCCTAAAACTCAATCTAGGTCTCCCACCAGGACACAAGTACTTGAGCCATCAACTGCTGCCTCCAAATATGTACATTATCAGCAAGCTGGATTGGAAGCAGAGTTAGCTGGGACTTAACCCAGGCATCCCAATATAGGATGTGGGCAACCCAAGTGACAGCTTAATCACTGTACCACAATGCCCACCCCAAAGGTGCAATTTTAAACTCAATCTAGCTAGCATCTCTAGGTAAGGAGGGCTTCTGAGAGAAAGAAGCACTTGAAATTCTTATTAGGAGGGAGACTGTTCTAAGAAGAGACATCAAGGAATGAGATAGGAAGATGCATTGAAGCAACTGTTCATGTTATCTTTTCACAATTCATTTTGTATTATTATCACCTAGAATAGATCACTGTTCATATTATATACTTAAAATATTATTATGAAATTAAAACATTATTATTGAATTTCATTAATATAAATGAATGCACCATAAATGTTTATTACTGAAACCAAACAAAAAAGAAAAGAAAACACACTACAAGGTAATATCCTTGGTCTTTTTATAGCTATCATTATCTTTGTTCTTGGAACTATATTTAACATGCTGCAGTCTCTGCCCTCAGAATGATGAATAGCCCTATTGGAAAAGACTGAGACTTGTGCAAATAGCACATAATAGAACAATCTGTCCGTGATGTATGCAAAGCAGGGGGTTTTATAGTAAGATTTCCCAAGTAAAAATCAAGAAACCTAGGTTCTATTCCCATACTTCTCACTAATTAGTTGTGTGACCTTTTTATAATCAATTATCATTTCTGTATTTCATGTTCTTCATTTAAAAGAGTGACTTGCATTAGGCAATGGCTAAGTTTCTTTTCAGCTTTTAAGTCATATATGTCAGTAAAATGACAAATGGACAATATTCACCTCCATTTATTCCTTTTTAATTTTTTATGGCAAGAGTTGACCTTTATTTCTAAGGTCATCACAGAACAAACTTGTCTCTCTCCCTAACTCCTATGTAATTGTGTTTCTGGCTGTCTTATCACTTACTGTGGGATGAATTTTTTTTTTAAGATTTATGTATGTATTGATTGATTTGAAAGGCAAAGTAACAGAGAAGGAGAGACAGAGACAGAAATCTTCCATCTACTGGTTCATTCCAAAAATCACTGCAACAGCCTGGGTTGGGCCTGGCCAAAGCCAGGAGCCAGGAGCTGGGAACTCCATCCTGGTTTCTCATATACAGATCTGAAGCAGGGTAACTGGGACACGAATGGGCACTCTGCTATGGGATGCCAGTATGGGCAAAAAGGCACGTAACCTACTGCCCTACAACACCAGCCCCAGAATAAAGTTTAGAGTGTAGGTTCTGGTGCTAGAAAGTCTCTTTTTAATTATATAATTTTGCTGTTTACTTACCGGCTGAATGATATTGCATACATCTCTTAATCTATCTGGATGTTCATCTCTACCTCTATTTAATAGGGCTTGTTTTTCGCAAGACTTATTTTATTTTTTGAAAGGCAGACATTATATATATAATATATGCATATGTTATATATACATATATATGTATATATATAGAGAGAGAGAGAGCACACGCTTCCATCAGCTAGTTCACTCCTCAAATGGCTGCAACAGCTGGGACTGTACCAGGCCAAACCCAGGAGCCAGGAGATCCTTCCAAGGCTCCCCCGTGGGTAGCAGGGGCCGGAGGACTTAGGCCATCATACCCTGCTTTCCCAGGCTCATTAGCAGGGAGCCAGATTGGAAGTGGAGCAGCGGGGCTTTAAACTGCCTGAGTGGGTGTGCCAGTGTTGTAGGTGGAGGTTCAGCCCATTATGCCAAAATGTCAGCCCTTAATAGGGATTCTAATAATACTTCTTTATAAAATTATTGTGGGACGCCGGATTCTGTCCCAGTTGCCCCTCTTCCAGGCCAGCTCTCTGCTGTGGCCAGGGAGTGCAGTGGAGGATGGCCCAAGTGCTTGGGCCCTGCACCCCATGGGAGACCAGGAGAAGCACCTGGCTCCTGCCTTCGGATCAGCGCGGTGCGCCGGCTGCGACGGCCATTGGAGGGTGAACCAACTGCAAAAGAAGACCTTTCTCTCTGTCTCTCTCACTGTCCACTCTGCCTGTCAAAAAAAAAAAAAAAATTATTGTGGTGATTGAATGAGTTAATGCTTCCAAAGTGTTTAGAAGAAGACTTGGCACAGGCTAAGTTTTCAATAGGCAATTTATCAAATTATTGTTTGTTAAGATGTTTACATACCCAGTTGTATCCTGTTCCACTGGGCCTTGTGAAAAGAATTGGTAGGACATAGCATGAGGAAAAAGCTGAACTCTTCTGCAGGTACAGGACCCCAGAGGAAGTCGTGCCTGTCTTGCTCTGTAGCACACACGTGTTTGTTCTACTAGATATCCCGGTAAGGAGTGTTGAATCCTTCTCACATGAAGTCCTTGAATGGAGACCAACTCCTCTGAGTGCCCTGTAGCATCTAATAAAGTGTCATTATCTGATCCTTCACCCTCAAAGAGAAAGAAAATGTGAGAAATAAGTTTAAATGAGCAGGACCAACCACAAAATTAGCAGACCATAGTCCAAATGAAAATATGGGTTTGCTACTCAGAAAGCAGAGAAAGAACCTAAAATATAAAATATGTTCCTTTCTTCTGCATGTCTTCTCTAGGGTATATAGTAGATTGGACATTACAAAAGAAATCTTTCAATTAATTAATGGAAACTAATAATAGACCCCATATATATGTATAAATATATAGATATAGATATTCAACTCATTTTGAAAAGTTACCAAGTACATCAATTGGGAAAAAAATCTTTTCAATAAATGATCCCGGAATAGCTACATACCAATATAGGAAAAATGTATTTTGACCCTTAACTTATAAATACAAATTAACTCAAAAATAAAGTCATAGACATAAATATAAAAAGCTAAAACTAAAATTAAAATAAAACAAACATTTTGAAGAAAACGTAGGAGAAAAACTACAAGGGTCTTGGATAGGCCAAGATTGTTTTAGGACATGAAACATGAATATGAAAAATAGCTGATGAATTGAGCTTCACTAAATGACAAACTTCTAGTCTTCAAAGGAGGCCATGAAGAAAATAAAAAGGCAAGTCACATACCAGAATAACATATTCACAATACTATCAAGCTTTTTTTAAAACTGTATAACTCAAAAATAAATGAGTTATTTTAATTTAAGATGATACTGCATTGAAAAGGATAATAAATTGACAACGTATGCATATGTACTTACAACATTACTTGTTATTAGGGAAATTAAAGTTCACAATTTGATATAAATAAATATGTATATTTATTAAAAGGGTTATAATTGAAAAATTACAGTGACAAGGATTAATGAGGTTTTAGAGCAACTGGAACTCCCATTCTTTGCTGGGGGATGTAAAATTCTACAACCACATTGTAATATATTTTAGCAGCTTATTCAATAAACACATGTATAATAAACCTAGAAATTCCTGTTCCAGGTAATAACCAGGAGAAATGAAAACACAAGTTCCCTGAAGACTTTTTAAAAAATCTCGTAGGACCTTTGTTCAGATGTCAAGGACATGTCCTATGATTGCTTTCACATGAAATTCTAAAATGGACAAATCTAATTTAGACTGGAAACTAAAGAAGAAAAACAGGTAAGTGATTTCCTGAGGTTCAATGATTGATGTTGCATGTGCTTTTGTTTACTACAACAAAATAACTGAGACAGGCTACTTGTGAGGGGAAGGAAGACCTATTTAAGTCCTCAGTTTTGGAGGCTAAAACTCCAAATTGCCTGATGATACAGGCTCTCTGGAAGGACCCAGAAGAATGGTGGAACATTTGCAGAAAGATCACATAGTGAGTCAGGAAGCAGAAGAGATGAGTGACTCCAAACTCAGACTTTTGTACCAACCTTCTCAAAAGAAATCCAGAGGTTATACGAGTACTGCGTACTGGTGGCATGTCCTCAGTGACCTAAGGACCTCGCATTGGGCTCCACCTCCCAAGGTTCCACCAACCACCAAAAGTGCCACCCTGGGGACCAAGCCTCTACTACATGGACCTGTTGGGGACATTAAAACTAATTCTCAAACCACAGAAAGGGTTAAATTAATTGTGAAGGATACAGGGAATATTTTTGGGAGATGCAAGTATGCTATAGTTTGCTGGTGGTTACTCATCAAAATATAAACTCAAATGGAGACATTTTATATGTAAATCAAGCTGAATCAATTTTATTTCAAAAAGATTTGGGGATTTTTTTTTGTATATGATCTTGATGAAGTCAATGTTAATCATCTCCAAAATTACCACATTCTTTCATACTCTGTGATGTGAACTCTACCTAAACCAACCCCAAAGCTGAGCTGTTCTTTCTAGCTTCATTTGCAAGCAACTGTTCTCTATCCAGATTCAAGTATGCCTTAAAGTAGAAACCTCAAAGTTATTGGAAGGAAACCCATATCCTCACATCATTCTTTTTGTTTTTTATCCTTTGGAAATATATTTACTGATATTAAACTTTATATTCAGAAGGGATTCTATTCAAGGTATTCATATGTTCTATTTTATTTCGAATGACAATTATCTGTTTGAATATTAGAAGACAGAAGTTTTTAGAATTTTATAGATGACATCTTATTATGTTTTATCCAACTTGAAATATAGTTTCATGGGTATTTATAGAGATTTACAAGGAAATTCTATAAAAAAAAGTGTTTCAATTTCTGTTACTGCCAAATATTTGCCCCTCCTTCCACTTCCCAGAAATTACCTCCTTTGCTGGATCCACCGGCATTGAATCATTGAATTCATCATGAGGCTGTAACTATGGCAATATAGTCTAGACTAGAAAAGTCATTTAATTATTAACTTTTACTTTATTTCCATAAGTAAAAATTATCATAGAATTTTCAATGATCAAATTTGATCTTATGGGAAATGTTTGCACACTGGTTTTATTGATAATCCAACGAAACCTAACTGAGGTGCTACAGCAGAGTGTACCCAGTTCCCCTGCCCATAAAAGTGAAAAACATATGTTTTGAGGTGTTGGCAACTATCAAATTTTGTCATGTTATCTAAACTATGTATCTCTGATGCCCAGTTAAATGACAATGAAACTTATCTTATAGGACAGGATGGCTTACAAGCTGTGCCATTTGCTTATACATCTGGTGCAAAAACTTTGAACTCTGGTGAGCTGAGGATTTATCATGATTTTCTTATCAAAATTTAAAACATATGTATATGAATGACAGTATAGTATTCATTTGTTTAGTTTCTCAAGCTTAAACATTGCAGTTTTGGGTATTGTATACTACAGATTTATTTTAGTCACATAAGCATAAAATTGTATGTAGCTAAACATATTCCTATTGAACACACATATGAACAGTTCAACAGCTTGATGTAATCCTTGTAAAAATGATAAGTATCTGCTAAGACATAAACATTCAACAATGAACATGTGTTACACACTGAATTGATGAGAGAATGGATCTATGTATAGTTTAGATGCTTTGCAGCTTGTGACTTGAAGTCAAATTATATTTTCCTGTCCTAAAACACATTTCTTTGATTATAAGTGGTAATCTACTAACAATATTTTATTTGTGGATAAGAATGATGCCACCAAAGTGTGGAAGAGTAGGAAGTTCTTTACAGTCTAGTGGAATTAAAAACTGTAGCATCACCATTCACCATCCTTAATTTCCACGTTAAGTAATTTTTCTAATTAGCAGAAATCTATGTATAAGCAATGCTCACTTTAAACTTATCCTAGTAAACTATTTTTGTCCTGCCATTTAGGTCCCTCAGTCACTTCTAAAATTTCAGTAATATCTAGGCCTATTAACAAATCTTCAAAATGATGGATAGAGTCAAATTTCTTTTAAGATGGTGTTTAACATGTTATTATGTTAGTTTTTTTACATTACATTTATTCACGTATAAGTGTCTCTTGTGTTTTTCTTTTCTCAAGATGTACTATGATATGAAGTGGAAAAAAAAAGTATATTTAGGGTCAGATGGCAAAAGTCACTCTGTCTGCAATGAGAAATGAGACTAATTGAAGATCATTCCATCTTTACAGAATTTAAAACATGATCAACATAACTATGCAGATATAAGGTTCTGGAGGAGAAATTACATACTCGGTGCTATGAAAAAAAAACATTAAAGAGTAGGGTGTGACTGAAGACATTTTGAAAGAGGAGAAAAATGACACTTAAATCAAAGGAAATAGCCACAACATGTGTAAAAACAACCCTGAAACTTGCAGTGTTCTGACATGGCTACCTTAGTAAGTGTGTGTTCATGGTAATTTGAGGGTTGTAATGGTGGAAGAGGGGCACAATTGTAGAAAAAGAAATGGAACCCTAGCAGCAAGTATTCAGCTTTATACTCCAGGTAATGGTGAGTTCTCCAAGAGAGAAGAGTGAAGTAAATCTCTTTATTTTTGTATTCCCAATATATCAATGTGCCTTGCAGATCTTACTTGGAGAACGGGGAGCTCTTGCAAGGAGGCCAGCTTTGGAAGCTCTGGCAACAGGCTACCTGGATGAAGAGGACTGACAGTAGGAACAGGAATGAAGGGGAATAGTAGACTTGAAAGTCTTTATATCTTGCTATGAACACTTTACTTTTAGTTCTAAAGCTAGATAGTAAACATTCATTGCCTCAACACAGAAGGTACTCCGATTCAAATTCTTATTTTACCCTATTCAGTGAAACCTTGCCAGCATCCAGTGGACATGCTGATACTTTGGGAAGAAATGGTACTTTTTTTTCTCATCCAAACCTCCCACTCCTAAAAATAGCTCCTGTTGTTAGGATCACACAAATATTTAGCTTTTCTACATCCTGCCACATTGGTTAGAATTTTTTTTCTCTTTCTTCTTTGCTCCCATGTTTCATTGCTTGAACCTTCCAATCTATTTTTTATTTTCTTTTTCATTTTTACTCCTTTTATTCTTTTTAACTTTTTATTCAAGGTGTACAGGCTTCAAACATTTCATAAATACAATATTTTTTTTGACAGGCAGAGTGGACAGTGAGAGAGAGAGAGAGAGAGAAAGGTCTTCCTTTTACTGTTGGTTCACCCTCCAATGGCCGCTGTGGCTGGCGCGCTGTGGCTGGCGCGCTGCGGCCAGTGCATCGCACTGATCCGAATCCAGGATCCAGGTGCTTCTCCTGGTCTCCCATGGGGTGCAGGGCCCAAGCACTTGGGCCATCCTCCACTGCACTCCCAGGCCACAGCTGAGAGCTGGCCTGGAAGAGGGGCAACCGGGACAGAATCCAGTGCCCCGACCGGGACTAGAACCCGGGGTGCTGGCGCCGCAGGTGGAGGATTAGCCTATTGAGCCGTGGCACTGGCCCATAAATACAAATTTGGAACATAATGATTCTTCCCACCCTACCATTCCTTCTGCCTGAACTCCTAGCCAACTTCCTCCTCTCTCTCCTATTCCCACTCTTAATTTCTACAAAGATCTATTTTCAGTTTCCTTTATACTCATAAGATTAACCCTACAGTAAGTAGAGAGTTCACCAAACAATATGAGGACAAAAAAAAAAAAAACCCACAATAAAAACACTGTCCCTCAACAGTAGAAAAAACTGTTATAAACAATCATCGAATTTCAAATGTTAATTTCAGTCAAATACATTACATTTTAGATACTCCCTTAGTTACAGATCAGGGAAAACATATTTGTATTTTTGTGATTGCCTTATTTCACTAAATATAATGGTTTCCAGTTGCATCCATTTTGTTGCAAATGACAGGATTTCATTTTTTTGTTGCCAAGTAGTATTCCATAGTGTATATATGCCATGATTTCTTTATCCAGTGATCAGTTGATGGACATCTGGGTTTAGTCCATATCTTAGCTATTGTGAATTGAGTTACAATGAACATGGAGGTGCCAATAACTCTTACATATGCTGATTTCATTTAGTTTCTGTAAATTCCCACCTGGGTCACATGGTAGATTTATTTTTAGTTTTCTGAGGTATGGTCATACTGTCTTCCACAATGGCTGAACCAGTTTATCTTCCCACCAACAGCAAATTAGGGTACCTTTTCCCTCACATCCTCACCATCATGTATTGGTTGGTTGATTTTTATAAGAGATCCATTCTACCTGGGGTGAGATAAACCCTTACTGTGGTTTTGATTTATATTTTCCTGATGGCTAGTGGTCCTGAACATTTTACTCATCTGTCTATTAGCCATTTGAATTTCCGCTTTGAAAAATGCCTCTTCAAGTCCTTTGCCACTTCTTATCTGGATTGTTTGATTTTTGTCATTGAGTATATTGAGCTTTTTATAAATTCTGAATGTTAATCCTTTATCAGTTTCATAGTTTGAAAATATTTTCTCCTATTCTGTTGGTTACCTCTTCACTCTTTGCAGTACAGAGGCATCCCAGCTTGATGTAATACCATTTGTCCATTTTAGCTTTGATTGCCTGAGCTTCTGAGGTCTTTTCCATGAAGTCATTGCCTATGCCAAGTTTTGCAGTGTTTCTCCAATTTTCTCTAGTAATTTGATGCTATCAAGTCATAGGTTTAGGTCTTTGATCTATTTTGAGTGGATTTTTGTGTAAGATGTAAGATAAGGGTCTTGTTTCCTTCTTCAGCATGTGGAGATTCAGTTTTCCAAGCACCATTTGTTGAAGAGACTGTCCTTGCCCCAGTGATTGATTTTGGCTCCTTTGTCAATGACTAGTTGTAGATGAATATATTCGTTTCTAGAGTTTCTATTCCATTCCATTGGTGTACACCTCTGGTTTTTTTTTCCAGTACTTGGCTGTTTTTATTAAATTGCTTTGTAGTATGTCTTGAAATCTGGTGTTGCAATGCCTCTGGCTTTGTTTTGGTTGTAGAAGATTCCTTTAGCTATTTGGGGACTCTTGTGTTTCCATAGGTATTTTAGCATAGCTTTTTCTAGATCTGAAAAGAATGTCATTGATATTTTGATTGGGTTCACATTGAATCTGCAAATTGCTTTTGGTAATGTGGACATTTTGATGATATTAATTCTTTCAATCTAGGAAAATGAAAGTTTTTTTATTTTTTTGTGTCTTCTTCTAATGTGTTCTTTTTTTAACTTTTATTTAGTAAATATAAATTTCCAAAGTATAGCTTATGGATTACAATGGATTCTCACCCCCCATAACTTCCCTCCCACTCGCACCCCTCCCATCTCCCACGCCCTCTCCCATTCCATTCACAAGATTTATTTTCAATTATCTTTATATACAGAAGATCGATTTAGTATATATTAAGTAAATATTTCTTCAGTTTGCACCCACACAGAAACACAAAGTGTAAAATAATGTTTCAGTACTAGTTATAGCATTGCTTCACATTGGACAACACATTAAGGACAGATCCCACAAGAGGAGTAAGTACCCAGTGACTCCTGTTGTTGACTTAACAAATTGACACTCTTGTTTATGGCGTCAGTAATCTCCCTAGGCTCTAGTCTTGAGTTGCCAAAGCTATGGAAGCCTTTTGAGTTTGCTGACTCTGATCATATTTAGACAAGGTCATAGTCAAAGCGGAAGTTCTCTCCTCCCTTCAGAGAAAGGTACCTCCTTCTTTGATGGCCCTGTTCTTTCCACTGAGATCTCACTCGCAGAGATCTTTCATTTAGGTGGTTGTTTTTTTGTTTTTTTGTTTGTTTGTTTGTTTTTGCCAGAGTGTCTTGGCTTTCCATGCCTAAAATACTCTCATGAGCTCTTCAGCCAGATCCAACTGCCTTAAGGGCTGATTCTGAGGCCAGAGTGCTATTTAGGACATCTGCCATTCTATGAGTCTGCTGTGTATCCTGCTTCCCATGTTGGATCATTCTCTTCCATTCTATCAGTTAGTATTTGCAGACACTAGTCTTGTTTGTGTGATCCCATTGACTCTTAGACCTATCAATGTGATCAATTGTGAACTGAAATTGATCACTTGGACTAGTGAGATGGCATTGGTACAATCCTTGATGGGATTGTATTAGAATCCCCCTGGCACGTTTCTAACTCCACCATTTGGGGCAAGTCCGATTGAGCATGTCCCAAGTTGTACATCTCCTCCCTCTCTTATTCCCACTCTTATATTTAACAGGGTTCACTTTTCAGTTAAATTTAAACACCTAAGAATAATTGTGAATTAATTACTGAGTTCAACCAATAGTATTAAGTAGAACAAAAAAATACTAAAAGGGATAAAGTATTACATTGTACATCAACAGTCAGGACAAGGGCTGATCAAGTCACTGTTTCTCATAGTGTCCATTTCACTTCAACAGGTTCCCCCTTTGGTGCTCAGTTAGTTGTCGCCAATCAGGGAGAACATATGATATTTGTCCCTTTGGGACTGGCTTAATTCACTCAGCATAATGTTTTCCAGATTCCTGCATTTTGTTGCAAATGACCGGATTTCATTTTTTTTGACTGCTGTATAGTATTCTATAGAGTACATGTCCCATAATTTCTTTATCCAGTCTACTGTTGATGGGCATTTGGGTTGGTTCCAGGTCTTAGCTATTGTGAAATGAGCTGCAATAAACATTAATGTGCAGACAGCTTGTTTGTTTGCCAATTTCATTTCCTTTGGGTAAATTCCAAGGAGTGGTATGGCTGGGTTGTATGGTAGGGTTATATTCAGGTTTCTGAGGAATCTCCAGACTGACTTCCATAGTGGCTTAACCAGTTTGTATTCCCACCAACAGTGTTCTAATTTGTTCTTTTATATTTTGTAATTTTCATTGTAGACATCTTTGACTTCCTTGGTTATATTTATTCCAAGGTATTTAATTTTTGTAGTTATTGTGAATGAGAATGATATTAAAAGTTGTTTCTCAATCATGGCTATTGATTTTTATGTCTTCATTTCATATCCTGTCACTTTACCAAACTCTTTTATGAGTTCCAACAATCTCTTTTTGTTCCCCTATATACAGAATCATGTCATCTTCAAATAGGGATAGTTTGACTTCTTCCTTTCCAATTTATATCTGTTTAATTTTTTTTCCTACTGGCTCTGTATAAAACTTCCAGAACTGTTTTGAACAGCAATGGTGAGAATGTGCATTCTTGTCTGGTTCCAGATATTAGTGGGATTGTTTCCAACTTTTTCCCATTCAATAAGATGCTGGCTGTGGGTTTGTCATAGATTGCCTCAATTGTGTTGAGGAATCTTCCTTCTATACCCAATTTGCTTAAGGTTGTCATCATGAAAAGATGTTGTATTTTATCAAATGCATTCTCTTTATTTACTGAAATAATCTTATGGTCCTTTTCTTCAGTTTTTTAATGTGGTATATCACGCTCATTGATTTGTGAATGTTGAACCATCCATGCATATCAAGAATAAATCCCACTTTGCCCAAGTGATTGCTCTTATTTTCTTTCTTTCTTTCTTATGTTAGGATCCTTAAGGAAGAGGATCTTGCCATTTTGACATTTTGTGAAACTGGTTTCTTTTTCTCATAAAAACTCTAAGTGAATGGTGAAAAGAAAAATAATTGATTCAAAGTCAACTGGAAACTAGATAAGTTATCTGCTAGTGATAAGAAACTGCCAGATGATAAAGCTGTGATGCAATGTGGCACATGAATCCTAAGTATATTCCTCTTTGTTCATGTGTATGTATAAATGGGAAACATAACTTTAAATACAACCCATGAATGTGAGAGTTAACTCTTGCTCTTAAATGCACTGTTTATCCTTCATCTTTATTCTATTATTATTTTGATAGAAGAGATTATTTTTGAATT